TTTTCAAAGATATGCTGTACTCCTTAATTTTATGATCTTATTTCATTTTTAAATTTTATTTTGTCCATTATTTTTTTGGGGACAAACATAATTTTTGTACTTTTACTTTTGTGACATTTTTAAATGTTTATTCTCCCCCCCAAAAATGATCTTTTTGATTAGAAGAACAAAATAGCCAATTTTTCAAGAGACTTTTCATTCAAATTTCTTTGTTCGATTCATGTATTGAATGAATTTTAAAGTTTTTATTCAAAACAGTTTTTGTTTTTGCGCGAATAAAAAAATGAATTTCTGCCAATACTTACAATAAAGGAAAATGTAAAACAAAATTTAAAAAAAAAAGCATTAAAGTAGAGTAAATTAACTACAGTACAGCAAAATACCTGGACTTATAATGTACAAATCTCCTTTGGAATGACTTTTAAGTTGATCTTCTCAACAAACCGAAACTTCCTCCCTTTCAGAAAGGCAGTCGGCGCACATTGTTGCGTTAATGGCTTTTAGCCGACGCGTTGCCAGCAAAAGCCTGTTGTTCATGACTTTAATTGAAGTGGCCCCGCAGGCACACTTAAGTCATGAGACATTGCACTCTCATCTACATGATTGCGGGGAGAGGCGGGTGGGGAGATTTGATTTCACCGCATCAAATGGTGTCAAAAGAAAGATTGGAAAGTCGATAAATCCGCTCGGCGTGCCGTTGTCGCCCTCGGCCGTATCTCTTAAGTAAAACAAAATGTCCCCCCCCCTCACTCGCGCGGGATAAGATGAGTGTCATCAAAATGTCCTTCCTGGCTCTGTTTTTGCCCAAGCAGCACTGGGAGGCGTTCCGCTACATCACCGAAATCTTCATCTTGGTTCCCGCTCTCCTCGGCCTCAAGGGCAACTTGGAGATGACGCTGGCGTCGCGCCTCTCGACAGCGGTTAGACAAAACACACACTCGCACGCACGCACAAGCTGTTTGTTTGCCTAATTTGTTCCCGTTCAGTGGCTTTCCATCCACCTTAACTGGCCGTTACGCAAAAAGGGAGGCGTTAGGGTGAGTCAGCACAAAAAAAGGGCCTTCTCCGAACTCTACCTCGGATTGATTCTCGCATGATGAGTCTCCCTTCTTTTTGTTATGAACGAAAAAAAAAAAAAACATGCATAAGATATCATAGTGACACTACACGAAGAGTTCATTCCTCAACTCGGATGCTCTCTTTAGTCGAAACGCTTATTTACTTTAGAGGAAGAATTGCTGCGCAACATGGAAATTCAATGGCTTTGCGAAACCAGTTTGACATTTCAGTCCGTTCCCTCGTTTCACTTCTTGAAGAGCGAACAAGTAGCTCGCGGAATTTCTGCCTTTGTTTGCCTTGGAGCGCTTTGCTACTACACCCCCGCCTCCCCTTTCCCCCCCACTGGCTCGCTCCACACAGCCCCTCACATTCACAGTGGAGTGGATTTACCTCATGTCAAGTGAGCTGGAAAAAAAGACTTTTTGACGGTACACTTTGGCTCGGCTTTTGTCGAAAGTAGGCCAGATTTCAGTCTGCGCGTTCCAGTCGGGAAGTTGCCGTTGTGCATTGTTTTTGGGAAAACAAGGTCGGACTTGCCTCGCCGCTGTTAGTTTTTTTTTTTTATGAATTGTGTACAACTCGTTTGTTGAACTGGATACCGTCAACCAAAATAAAACAAAAGGAAGTCATTATTGTGCCATTCTTTCGGCCGCAGATCCAAACACGCCACGCCAAAAAAACAACAACAAAAATAGACAAGCAAACATTCCATGTGGGAGGGTGGGGAAATGTCAAAACCACAGACGCTGTTCATTTGCTTTTGTCGTGTGAACCCCACACAGGTGAACGTGGGCAAGATGGACTCGCCGATTGAGAAGTGGAATCTAATCATCGGCAACCTGGCACTCAAGCAGGTAAATTCTTCTTCAAAAGCTTATGTAACGGGTGCTTGTACTTGTTCGAAAGTTGGAAGAGGACGACGAACCGCACGTTATCATGTCAGGGACGTCTGACAGATGGAGACACTGTTAATCAATCGATAAACTCGTCCTGGCACGTGTTTGGATCATCCCCGCTGTTTCACAAAACGGTTGCTGTTTTGGTTTTGTTTAGGTCCAGGCCACCGTGGTGGGCTTCTTGGCCGCCGTGGCGGCCGTGGTTCTCGGCTGGATCCCGGAGGGCAAGTTCCAGATGAGCCACGCCGTGCTGCTGTGCTCCAGCAGCGTCGCCACGGCCTTCATCGCTTCCATGCTGCAGGGTAAACGTGCCCGTCAACGGTCAAACCCTCCCCCCCCCAAAAAAAAAAACGGAAGAAGACTCTTGACTGACTTTTTTTGACGCGCCCTTCCGTGTTTCAGGTTTCATCATGGTGGGCGTGATCGTGGGCTCCAAGAAGACGGGCATCAACCCGGACAATGTGGCCACGCCCATCGCCGCCAGTTTCGGTGACCTCATCACCTTGGCCATCCTGGCTTGGATCAGCCAGGGCCTCTACAAGTGCCTTGGTAGGTCAAAGAGCATCGAGCATCTCATTTTTCTTGGTGGTCGATCCTGCACGTCGATTTGGGAGGGTTACCAGACAAAAAAACCCTCCACAAAAAAAAAAAAACACCTTGAGAGACAGACGGGTTCATAGCTCAATTTTTTTTTTTTGTTTTTATTAAGTTAAAAAAAATCTCTGGGAGGGCCACTTACAGATTTTCAGAAATGGGCAACTCACAAAAGACTTTAGTCGTTATTTTTTGCGTTTTTGTGCAAACAAAAAAACAAAACACCTTGAGAGATGCATTCATAGCTTTTTTTTTTTTTTTTTTTTAATTAAGTAAAAAAAAATCTCTGGGAGGGCCACTCAGAGTTTCAGAAATGGGCAACTCACAAAAGATTTTAGTCGTTATTGTTTTGCATTTGGTGGATGCTCAGCCACGCCAGAGATCCAAGTATTGACATATGCAAACAATTAAAAAAAAAAAAAAAAAAAAAAAAAAAAAAAAAAAAAAAAAGTCAATAATCCACAGGAGTGTCTTGGGTCAAATACTTTTTGTGCTCGCGTTTTTTGTAACTCCCCTATTTGGCCACTAGAGGGCCCCCTTTGTCCCTCTCTCGAGCACAAACGCGCAACGTCAGCTTGCACAACAGACCTCCTTGTCTTCTCCCGGCAACATTCCACATGTTTTAATTCATGTCACGCCCAAAACCCGCTTGTAATACAGTCCACGCCACTCCCGCCGAATGCAGCATCACATTCAAACTCCTCCACCTCCGAGATGTTCCCTCCTCGAGAAAACAGAGGCACGGTTTATTAAAACGCTCTTCAGACTCCATATTTCCACAGCCGGAAGGCGTAATGATGCTGTCTGGCCTGCGTCTCTTCCCTCCACAAAGTCCTTGTTGTTCTCGAGCGCAGCCGCGCTGATATTTTTACCGAAAAGTTGCAACAAAAGGCTGTTTTTGGGACGAAAAGGGGGGGGAAAAAATGGAGGAGACACTGGCATCAAGTCACTTTTAATTTTCGGGCACTTTTTTTTTAATCACTGTGTTGTTGTTTTTTGTGTTGTAATCGTTCTGGCCATAAAAGAGGGAATTGTTTCCAAATTAAAAAAAAAATGTGACGGATGACGACCACCTCCCCCTCCCCCCCACCCCCCCAGATCCCTACCCGTACGTCTCTTCCGTGGTCTGTGCCTTCTTCATGTGTCTGACACCCCTGTGGATGGTCATCTCCTCCAAGCACCCGGCCAGCCGCACCCTGCTCTACTCGGGATGGGAGCCGGTCATCACGGCCATGATCATCAGCAGGTATTTTCTCTGCGGCGCTTGAAAAGCGAGTAGACGAGCAGTTTTTTTTTTCTGCTTCTGTGATGCTATCAGCTCTGCCTGACGACTCATCCCTGAAACAAATTGCGACAGCTAGCGATGCTGAGTTCCCCAGGCTTTATAAATGCACCTCTTGTCTTCAGTGTGCTTATTCTTACTCTTCTTATCAGCATCGGAGGGCTGATCGTGGACAAAACGGTGTCTGACCCCAATCTGGCAGGAATTGTGGTCTACACGCCCGTGATCAACGGTGAGTCACAACTAACGGTGCCATTGGGCAATTCGAACCAAAAACGTATTCCAATTTTTTTCAAAGGCGACAGTGCGCCTGACACTCTGATGCGCCTTCGACATGGATCAATATTCTGATTTCTTGGTTTTAAATGTCTCATATGGCGCTTTAAATGTCTCGTACGGCGCTTTGTTACAGATGCAGCGGTTGTGAAAGCTCTGTATCAATAAAGCTTGTATTCGTTTGAATGAAATGGAAAAGATGTGGCACTTGTTGAGAAAAATTCCACCGACCGGTGGAAACGTTGAAATTGTACAGTTATTATCACGAGTTCAAATTTATTACTCGATTAAAAAAAAAAAAGTCATTGTTTTGAGAATGAAGATGTATTTTTTTTCAGGATGAAAAAGTCAATCTTATGATTCATGTCAACTTTATTGTCAAATGTGCAACATACAGCACAGATGAAATTTCTTTCCTCAGGGGAGAGAGGAGCCGCCGCGGGTGCCCGCGCCGCCATCAAAAGAACAGTGAACTTAAAATGACAACTTTGGTCATTCTTTTTTGAGCTTATTTAATAATATTGGGCTGAGGACAAAGCCTTGTGGGATTCCATGGCTCCGTTTTACACAAAGAGGATGCTGTAGCGCTTTCAGTCAAGTATTTATACCCCTTGAAATTTCCTGGATTGCATTTGAGGTGGGGATGAATGACTTGAGCAGGCCGCCGTGCGAGGACCGACTGCGGGCCGTCCTTTTATGTTTTGATTTTTGAGTGTCGGCAACCCTTTTCATTGCTGTTCTTGAACCCCCTTTCGCGGTGTCAAGGTATCGGAGGGAACCTGGTAGCCATTCAGTCCAGCCGCATCTCCACTTTCTTGCACTTCCACTTTGCCCCAGGGGAGGTCCCCGAGGAGGCCAAGGGCTGCTACTACCCCTGCCGCACCTTCTTCGGCACAGGTCAGCCCCGCCCCGCGCCGGCGGATTCCCGCGACTCAAGCATCTTGACTTGCTTTTCGTCCCAGGGCCCAATCACCGATCCGCTCAGGTTCTCCTCCTCCTGGTCATCCCTGGCCAGCTGATATTCCTCTACACCATTCACCTGATGAAGAGCGGCCACACCACGCTGACGCCCATCTTCATGTCCGTCTACCTGGCCGCCGCTCTGCTGCAGGTGCGCAAACGCTCTCGCCGTTTGAAATCAGTCGAGCTGCTCATCGTGTGCGCGTGGCCTTCGCCAGGTGTTGCTGCTGTTGTGCATCGCCGACTGGATGGTGCACTCCATGTGGCGCAGCGGCAAAGACCCCGACAGCTTCTCCATCCCCTACCTGACGGCGCTGGGCGACCTGCTGGGCACCGCTCTGCTGGCGCTCAGCTTCCACTTCCTGTGGCTCATCGGCGACCAGGACAGCGACGTGGGCGACTGACGGGTGACGTACTCTGCCATACATTTCCGCAGCTCGCAATCGCGGAGACTTTTGCGCCTTTTTTTGCACCGGAGCGCTTGCGTATGACTCTGCCGGTCCTTTCAAACGCCCCTGAAAAGTCCTCCGCTTGGCTGGAATGATTCTTGAATTGACTTTATCCTGGGAACTGCGCGCGAGTGGCAAAGTTGCAATTCGAGTTCCAAATCGGTTGGCGCAACGGATGCCAGAGGAGACGGCTGCACGGAGCACCCTTTGTTCACGTCATTGCGGGCTTTTGCGCACGTACGACAGGATCCGGTATTCAATCCGTGTGCCTCTCGAGATTGACTGGTTGACAAGGTGTCGTTTCCATGACAAAATGTTTCTCAGTGGATGTCAGTTTTGCACCCCCCCGCCTCCCCAGAAAAAAAACAAAACACTGCCCATGTAGCAGCAGCGTATGCCATTTAAATGTTTTTGTCGAAATAAATATTTCCAATATCGTATCTCATTTGTCATTGTTGTTGTCGTCAAAGGTGGTGAGGAGCAACATGAATTTTCACTTGAGCAGCCAGCCAGCCAGCTGTCCCGATGCTTACTTGCTCCGGAATTGACTGTGAAGGTTTTTGCGTGTCTTTGTAGTGCAGAAGGATTGCCGTATGAATGCAAAGTTTTTCAACCTTGTGATGAAATGCTCCAAAGCGCACTGACAATTTTCTATGTTGACGAACTCTCTCCCCATTTGAATGCAAGCCAGTTCCTTGTCCAAAAGCTCTGACCAACACTCATAATTGTTTTTTTTTTTTCCTCAATAAGGTCAACTCTTTACAATGCCAGAGGTTCCGAGACGGACTCCTCTGCCTGTCAGTCATCCTGTCACCCCCTGGGCCCTGCGCGCAATGGTCACATGAGGCCTGCACACAAAAGGGGCTTGAAGGAGAGGTCCATCGGTGCAAGCAGCAAGCAGCAAACAGCACACAACTGTTGATTTATGCACACCATTGCTGGAAATTTCTCAAGAGGTTTGTCGATAATAAAAGTGTGTGTGTGTGTGTGCGGCGAAAAACATTTTGAGTTGAAAAAAGGCGACCATGTACAGTAAGGTGTTTTTAGCACCTCCAAAAAAACCAAACATGTACAGTAAAGCGTTTTTTTTAGCCCCAAAAAAAAACGACCATGTACAGTAAGACGTTTTTTGCAAAAAAAAAAAAAAAACGACCATGTATATATAGTAAGGCATTTTTTTAAGCAGAAAAAAACGACCATGTACAGTAAGGCGTTTTTTGCAAAAAAAAAAAAAAAACGACCATGTATAGTAAGCCGTTTTTAGCCCCAAAAACATGACCATGTACATATAGTAAGGCATTTTTAGCTTGAAAAAAACGACCATGTTTAGTAGGGCATTTTTAGCCGAGAAAATGACCTTTTATTGTAAGGCGTTTTGAACCGAAAAAAAACGACCATTTTTATTTTTTTCCCCTCGTTGCAGGCTCCACCCCAATCTGTGAGGCCATCGGCAGACAGATGTTGTGCTGCAGTCGCAGGATCCCTTTGCACGAGCTTGAGACCCGAATCGATGTGAGTGGATGGCGTCGGATGACCTTAACTTGCAGTTCATTTTGATTGTTTTTTTTTTTTTTTAATCTCTTTCAACAGGTCATCGATGCAGCCACCATCAAGGTGTGCACCAAATATTTCTTCGACAAAGCTCCTGCCAGAGCAGCCATTGGTACGTTTGCTTCTGTTCAGGAAGAATGCGGCTGTGAGATTTGGAATCACTCCAAGTTAAAATTAGTTTTTTTTTTTTTTACTTCAAACAGGTCCAATCGAGCAGCTTCCTGACGACACCCAAATCTGCAGCGGAATGTTCTGGATGAGGAGATAAGTAAAGTCACACTCTCTGTTTTCAAATCCCCTTGTCCTTGCAAGGGTCGCAGGGTGTGCTGGAGCCTCCCCCGGCTGTCTTCGGGCCGTCGGCAGAGGGGAGGGGGCACCTTCAACCGGCTGACAGCCAATCAAGAAACAACCATTTCCACCAGAGGTTAATTGCCCCACGGTGCAAATGGTTGTTTCTTAATTGGCTGTCAGTCGGTTGAGGGTGCCCCCTCCCCTCTGCCGATGGCCGGAAGACAGCCGGGGGAGGCTCCAGCACACCCCCTCGACCCCGACCCTTGCGAGGACAAGGGAATGAGAAAATGGATGGGAGGGTGGACACCCACGCCAGCAAGAAGAGAACACAGAAGCGTGACCGGCCGGAGCTGGATTTGAACCCTGGACCTCTGCGTTCGCACTCCAACGCACTAACCAGTCGACCATGGAGCCGGCCCAGCATCACACTCAAACGTATAAATGACAACATAAAACACCTGTTTTTCTTTATTAAAAAAAAGTTCAACACAACACATTAAAAGTCACGATACTCTGAATTCTCTCTGCGTTGTCATTTTTTGCTCTTGTGCAGCTTTCTTGGCTTCAATCTTCTCCACCACTTCCTGTCGGAGAAAGGGGACATATCATCTTACCATCTCAATCACAACAGGACATTTGTACCAATTCAAATGGAAGGGTTGTTGTCATTGGGTGCCAAACTTTGGCACCCAATGACGACAACTCTTCCACTTGAATGAGAACTTTTTCCACTCACCTCATGGCGCTGCATGCAGTTTTTCTTGTTTCGTGCGGGGATTTTGTCCCAGTGTTGTAGTGTGATGACCGGATACGTCTTGAGGGCCTCCTCCAGAAGCTTCTGTTCCTCCGGGGGCCAGTGGGCTGCGGTTCCATCACCACCTCGGGCTGAATCACACAAGGACGGCAAGCTTTGATAAAAAGAATCTCGTGAAGCGCAGGCGGTTCCACTTGACACTCACCTTCAAAGCACTCCGCTGGCACCATGTTGGAAACGGTGGTTGTGTTCCTTCTTACATTTCTCCAAGTCTTTTCTGGTGATGTCATCTTTCTGCAATGGATCTGAAAAGACAACAGCAACTCAGAGAATTAGTGGGATAATAACAACAAAGAAAACGACCATGTGTAGTAAGGCGTTTTTAGCGAGAAAAAAATTACAGTTTTGTAAGACGTTTTTTGGCATGAAAAAAAACGACATAGTATAGGAA